CCGGGGGCGGGTTCGTGGGGGAGGCCGTGAGCATGCGCGAGCTGCTACGTGCGAGTGCGCGTGCGCCGCCCTCCCCTTAGCCCCGCCCGCCCCTTCGCGGCCCGCGCAGGTGACACAAAGGGGCTCACGGGCCTCGGGGTGCCCCCCCCTAGACTTCGGCCCCACTGAAACCCAACATTACTTGCTCTTGACCTCTACAGGGCCCCTGTCTTCCCTGGGCTCCCAGCCTCACCGGTCCCCGGCCCCACTGACTCCTGTCCCATTGGGCTCTCTCCTCTATCCGCATCGGGTTTCTGTCTCCCCCAGACTCCTATTTTACTGGATCCTGATCCCCACAGGGCTCTCAGTTCTATGTCTCCTTCGGCGACTCCTACCGCCCCCAGCTCGATTTCTGATCCCACCAGTCTCTGATCCTCACAAAGCTCCTTGGCCCCATTGGACCCCAGCTCCACTGGAGACCTCTCTACCTTGACTTCTGTCCAACCCCACCCGCCTGCGCAGCCTCATCAGACTCTTGACCCCACCGGATCACTTTCCCCTGAGGACCATCCCAACTCGATCTCTGACCGAGATCGCCCAGGCCCCTGATTCCCACTGGGCTCCCAGCCCCACCAGAGAGTGCTGTCGCCACTGGACCAGGTTCCCATTGAACACCGGACTCCTGTATCCATTGGGTTCCCATCCTCATCGGACCATTTATCCTTTATCTTGAACTCTGACCCCTCTGGGGCCTGATCTCCAATGGGTCTCTATAGACCTGCTGGCCTTGACCTCACTGACTCTTCATCCCCCTCAGCCCTGGCCCCACTGGACTTTGGCTTCTTCTGGTCCTTACCCCACTGGACCCCCAGCCCCACCAGGCCTTCATTCCTGCCCATCATTCTATGGCCCAGCCTGCTGGTGTGGGGCCCGTGGTCCCATCCAGTCCTCCTAGTGGAACTAAAGAGCTCATCTTATTCATTAGTTTGACTTGTCCGGTTTATTTAAAGCGTTTTTATGTTACAAACATACAAAGCCAGGTGGATGTCAAAGGCTGTAGTGTGTTTTCTTTATGTTAATAGCTCAAAGGACAGAATTAACTGCAAACTGTGCTTTGAGAGAGAGAGATCACAAGTCTTTTGGGAACCTGATTGTGTACTGGCAGATGGAGGGTGCGAATGGAGTAGGCCTAGGCCTTTGCCCTCCTGCTCCCTCCTTTGAGCTGCAGGTCCTGTGAGCTGCTGGTGACCAGGGTTGGTGTTTTCCTTAGCACGTTGTCAGTGAGACAGGAGGGGGAAGGTCATAGTCCTTGGGCTGGAGGTTTTTCCCTGAAGAACAGGTGCACAGTGTTCCTGCCATGTCCACCATATGTCAGGTGTTTTTAGTGACGTTTGGAATAGTTTCAGTAGCAGGCTTTTACTACCACTTGAATTTTTTATCCATTTTTAAGAATCAAGTCTTAATGGTGTAGCCAGTGGGGATGGCAGCCCATCCCTTGATGGCTCTTGGTGGGGCTTTCTCAGGCATGGCTGTGCAATTAGGGGCCCACATTTGCATATTCACTCAGGTAGGGGTGGGTGGCAGGGTGCTTGAAGTCACCTTACATGAGATTTCTGCACAGCTAGAGTTTAGGCAGTCAGTACCTTCTCTGGGCTTCTGGTTTCCACCTTAATAATTCAGGGGGTTTATCACAGGGGTACCTCTTCTCACTCATGTTTTGAAAGATGGCAGAAGCAGGACCTTTGCAATGTACACTGGGCCTGGCAGAAAATGCTTGATGGGCGTAGGGTCTTCAGTTGTTACAGCTTGGCTTTCTGGCTCTGGTCTGCTGCTTTTTTAAGCACCTTATCAGACCACTTTGTACTGTTGGTGGCCATTTTGCTGCTCCTTGTCAGCTTGGGCCTTCCTCTTGGGAGGGGCAGTTCCGGGGTGCGGCTAAGGAGGGGCTGGGACAGGGACAGCCCTGTGTCTGTCCTCCCTGCCAGACTGGGTGGGTGTGGGGCCTGCCCTTCCGCTGGTTCTTCTTCCTTCTCTCACCGCCCTCCCCTCCACCCCCACTGCCCTGCCCATCCTGGCTGCAGTCAGAGTCAGGCCCCGAGGCTCCCTCCAGCTCCCAGGAGGCCTGTGGGAGGGAAAAGGCTGCCACCGCACCTGAGCCAGCAGGGTTGGAGGCTAGAACTTTCTCTGGCCGGGTGCCCAGCCCAGCCCTCTGCCTGCCTGCTGAGAATCAGGGCAGCCGCCTCGGCACACGGCACACGGCACACGGGAGGAGAGGACTGCCTTTTAGCTGGCACTGAGTGTTGAAGCTGCAGGAACTGGCTAGGGTCAGCCCCTTGTTTGTGATGACTTCCCTCACCGTTGGCTAGGACTGAGTTGCCTTCCAGTTAGGGGAAGGGAAGGACAGTGGTTGTGTCAGGGTGCTCTGAATTGCCAGGGAGACTTTAGAGTCAGATTGTGAGTATAGCCCAGAGCCCGGATAGTGGCTGAGGGGTCTTGGTGGGAGGTAGGAGGGTCCCCATTATGGAACCACAGCCCTTTCAGTTTTGCCGAAGTCTCACTCTGTGTTTGATTGTCTCCCAAGTCCCCGAGCAGTCTTCTCCACCACTTGCGTACAAACATACGTCAAAGAGCATGTGTTTGCTATAAACAAGAGCGGCAAGGGCACTCACTCGCTCTGGCTGGTGCTGGCTGGCTCCTGAGTCGGGAGGTCATCACTGAGCTCTCAGATGGCTCCTTGGACAAGTGATCACTGTAGCAAAGCACAGGCCCAGGCTGTCCCTATGTCAGATCCCAGCCGTGTCCCCGGCTGGTGTGTGGCCCCTCTGTGTCCCTGTCTGCAGCATGGGGTAACAGTGCTCATGATGTGCATCGAGGGGTGAGCGAATGCAAGGCTCAGGGGTGGCTCTGTGCGCAGCCCCGCAGGTGGGGGAGCACCGTGTACTGTAACTGTTCACCATTATGGTAGTGCTGGGAGGGGTCCTCCCTTTCTCTACCTGGAACTTTCTGGGTGTAGCTCGGCTGGGGGCTTCTCCTGAGTACCAGAGTCTGTCAGTGGGGCAACGTCCGGTCCTATCTTGCCTGAAGTGGGACCTGTGGATTCTTGCTGGGACCTCAGGGATGTGCTGTGTTCACCCTGGGCCTCGGCCTTCCTTCCCCCTCGAGGCCGTCACCCGTAGGCCAGCAGCCGTATCTGGCTCGGTCTGCTCACTGTCCTGTTGGTTCCATCAGCAGTGCAGCCCCTTTTCTTCTCTTCCTGTGGTTTTATCACCCATCTTTAAGCACAGCTGTAATTCTGGCGTCAGCTACCAGGTTTTGGGAGGGACATGCACTTGGGTTTGCATCTGGTCTCCTCCCAGGCGTCTCCCTTGCCTGCCTAGCCTTCCGTGGGGCCATCTGTCACATCTCTGCAGTTTCACCCTGGCCAGCCTTAACAAGGGCAGCTCTCCACTCTCGAATTCTGCAAGATGGGTGCATTGTTGGGGGCATTTGTGACTAGAACCACTCTTCTTTAGCCTGAGGACATGGCAGTAGGGGAGGGGAGGCAGGGTGGCGGCT